CAGGCTTTCAGCCAGCAGGCTTTCAGCCAACAGGCTTTGAGCTGCACACAAGTTTGAAAAGCATGTGGTTAGGAAAACCAACAAGACCCAAACCAACAGGCAGTGCTCTAACAACCATTGGTTAGCCAACAGGCTTTGGTTTGCAAGTGGGTGGACAAGAAATGGGTACAAGCCAAACAGGCTGCCAGATGACACATGAAAGCCAACAGGCTACATGTTTGTCAATTCTAAGCTCAGAGCTAGCTTCATTGTTGGACACAGCCGATAGGCTCCTGGAACAATGAGACTGCAAGCCAACAGGCTGTTGGAATAGACCACCAACACAACAGCCATTGCAGGTGCACTCTTTCACACCACAGCTCCTTGGTCAAGGGTGTCCAAGTTTTCTCTTCTTGTTGGCTTCTGCAACTTCGATTGCCTTGGTGTCCAAGAACATCAATTGCTCTTCCTTGGCCAAGGGCTTACAATTCTGCAAACATGGGATCTTCATCCCATCCTTTTTCAAATGCCCCCACTCCATGTTGGCAAGCTCTGGCTCTGTAGTGCCCTTGCACCACCAAAAGGGGCTCAGCACTCCTTCTGCTTGGGCAAAGTTGCTGCATGCTTTGAAAGGGGCTATGTTCCAAAAAAGGCCACTGTATTCGATATATGTCTTGTGCTCTGGCTTCTTCTTGGATTTGCTGACAATGCCATAAGGCAAGAGCTTCAAAGCGTTCTTCTTAGTGACCTTCTTCAGAGTAAACACAGCTGCTGGGTGCAAAGCAAAGGCAACATCATTTGCTGTCACTTCCTTGCAGGCTACTGGTGCTTCGAGCACAGCACAGAAATCTAGTTTCCTGCTATGGTTGCAAGCAAACCTGGAAATCAATATTGTCAATGTAGCCAGGTGGCATGCTCTGTGCAGAATTGAAAGAGAGCTTGAGCAACTTCTATTTTCATCTTCTCCTCATTGACCACAGTGGCATGTTGTGCCAAGAGCTTGGAGACTTGTGCTGCATCACATACCACTGTCATCTCTCCCCTGGAAACCTTCCACTTCTTGAAATCATCAAAGCCAACTTGCACTATTTGGGCTTCTCCAAAAGCAGGCTTGTATGTCATGACAGCATGAGAATCTCCAAAGTCAGTGAGCTGGAAGATCTTGGGGCCGTGATCTTTAGTGCATGTGTACCTTGAGCACTATAGGTTGAAGGAAATGATCTAAGATAAACAAATTACATAAATTGGCTGAGTTGCAGTCCATTTTGTTTCATGTGCTCATTCTGTACCAATGCAACTGTCTTCTTGTCTGCATCAAGGCCAACAATGCTCTCTGAAGGGTCCTCACCATCCCCTTCATCTGTCACAGCCATGCCTTTGAGATCTGATGCAAACTTTTCTGCAATGGAAGCCAAGTCGACAAAAAGACCAGGTTCTCTTCCCTGCTTCTCTTTGCCCATGATCCATAGGGTACATCTCACACAACACTTGCCAAAGGCAATGGTTGCTTCCCTCTCTGGAGCTGTTGCTGCCACCCTCCAGCAATCCTGCAAAAGGGCTTCCATTTCATCCAATCTACTTCTCATTCCAGGCCCTTTCACCTTATCCAAATCAACCTTGCTCAGAATTCTTGCAAACCCATCAGACTTCTTTGGGCTTGTCGCCATGCATGCCCAAATGGCAATGCGTGTGAAGCTGTACAAGCATGTTGGGTTTTTGAAGTCCAATGCTGCAAGGGCCCTCATAAACTCCTCACCAAGGAGGAGTGCACATCCCAGCTTTCCTGGCTGGAGCTGGTAGTGTTTGGTGGTAGCAAACCAACAAAGATATTCTTAAAAGGCTTGTGAATGGAAAACCATGTAGCCAACAGGCTTGCGCACAGAAGTGTCTTCAGCCAACAGGCTTGCACACTGAAGTATCTTGAGCCAACATGCGTGCTTGGGGGAAAGAGCAACACCAAATACCATTCAAACAAGAAACCCCATTTCCCAAGGAAAGCCATCAGGGGCATATCTGTGCCTCCAGAATACCTGCTCACATAGTGGCTGATTGCATCCAAATATGGTTGGCAATGGTTGTCAGTAGTCTTCATCCTCTTCAGGGAATCAGCCAAGCTGTATCCAAGCTTATGGAGCTCTGCTAGCTGGCATCCGCATTCAATTTCATTGCAAATCTTGGATATCACATTGTTGCTGTTGAGACCCATTTGCAAAGTGGCTGGTAAAGAAGCAAACCCATATGAGTGAATAAGGTTCAAAGCTAGAGCTGGGTCTTTTCTTATGGCAAGCTTGGAGGAGCTCA